TCACCCAACTAACTCCCTTTGTTTTGTTTATCTATTCGCTGTCCAGTATACAACAGTTTTGCACAGTTCACTAAGTGTTGTTGTGTTAAGATGCTGACTGGTATAGCTTTATTACTCATCGCTCTGCCAAGTTTCTCCCATACCTCTTCGTTGCCTTGTTGTCTTGTTGTTGTATACTTTACAAAATCCTAAGACACTGCAGATATGTACTATTTTTCCGTTTTTTTATCAATCGGTTTTTTTATGGCATTTCTCTGCTCCATAACAATATCAGCAGAAGAAGAGAGAAGAGAAAGAGAGAGAGGGAGAAGGAAAAGGGGAAAGAAATTAGAAGTTTCTGTTTGTGGTTATTATCAAGACGACATATGTGGCTTGTATTGTTCTTTGTCATCTGAACATTAAACTCATAATAAAGGAGTGGTGAAATTGTTAATTCAACTCAAAATTGTGCATATTTTCTATTCTGGGGTATTAAAATTTTTTTTTGCCTTTACATTGACCTTCATTTATTTATTTATTTTTTTTGTTTTGAACCTGTTAACGCTTAAACTAATTAGTATTTCTAGGATTGAAGTGTTTTTTCGGCAATGAGGACGTCTTAATGCCGATATGATTGGTAGTGTCCTTGGCTCAAAACCTCAGGTATTTGTTTTTTATTCTAGCAACTAAATTTGTTTAGTGTTACACTTTTCTTTTCGTTTAAAATATTTCAACTTCTGTATTTTTGTCCCCTACTACGTCAAAAAAAAAAAAAAAAAAAAAGTTTTTGATTTCTTCGAAGGACGGAGGGAATTTTTTTTTAAGATTCTGCTTTGAACCGAGCTGTGGAACATAGATATTCTAGTTTTCAATTTATTTTTTAGTGTTTTTTTAGGACTAGTGATAATTTATGACTGTAGCTAGTTGTTGATTTAATGGCAATAGCTGTTCACCAGCAGTCGTAACAGGTTGGTTTATTTTTAGTGCTTCACTTATACTTTATAAGCTACAGAATATGCTGCAGTCAATCTGAATATGTAGGATCGTTTCCTGGAAGTTATAGGATAAATTGGATGCGTTCCAGTGAAGTTGTTTCAAATGTTTTGTAAGACTATTTAGGTGCAAGTACCTTTATGCATGTTTGTCTGGATTTTCTTGCATTAAGCTAAGAAAAAGCCAAGTTAGCATTGTTTTTTTCGTAAAAGGAGAAATGACTGGGAGAGGGTAAAGCATAGAGATTCTAAATTTACTATTACAAATATTTGTTGTGTCATTTTACTTATGAAGAAAAAAAGTGCACAACAGTAATGTGGACTGGGGAACGATTCAGATTTTTGTTGAGAAAAAGTTGTGGGACTAGGAATTTT